TAATTGTGTCTGAAAATTCATATAAATTATACCTACTTTATCTATTAACAAGTATCAAGGACAATATAAAGTTAGTTTTGGGGAAAACCTCTCATGAGTGCTGAATGAAAATATCACAATGATTTGTCCATATCACGTTGATTTTGATACTAGAGGTTCTGCTACTATGTTCTCTGAAACTTCGTAACATTCCTTTACCTCTTTAAAAGCTGTGTCATACTGGGAATATGAAAACAAGGAGTAGTGCTGTGGCACCATAGGTTCCATCTACACTGCACCCTAAGCTCAAGATAAGTTATGCAAATGTGTAGCTTATTTCAAGTGTATTTCTAAATATCTTATTTTGAAATTTGTCACTGTCTACACAGCGCCAAATTTCAAAATAAACCTCTATTCCAAAATGTCTCTTAATCCTTGTGGAATGAAGTTTACAGGGACATTGGAATAGTGTGCCTGTTTGTTTGAAAGATATTTCAAACTAACAGGCGTGCTGTCAAGACATGCAACAGTTATTTCCAAGTACCAGAAGTATCTCGAAATAGCACCGCTATATAGACATATCCTTAGAGATTAACAAAAATATATACAGTATCATGAGCTTTAGTGGATATTTCTTGATCTACAAAAAGTATAAGATTTTTCTACCATGTCCACACGGGCAGTTCATTCGATTGTATGATATCTGCTGTGCATGCAACTTCAGCTTTGGAATTTCCTGCCTTCTGAGGGTATGTCTACATAGCAAAGTTATTTCAAAATAACAGCTGTTATTTCGAAATAACTTTACTAGCGTCTACACAGCCAAATCACTTTTCTGAAATTAATTTGAAATAGCAGAGTGCTTATTTCGAATTTGGTAAACCTCATTCCACGAGGAATAATGCCAAATTCGAAATAGCTATTTCAAAATAAGTGCTGTGTAGACACATATCAAAATAGGGGGCCGTCAGCCTTCCCAGGGTGCCCTGGTGGCCACTCCAGCCTCAAAAAAAGAACACTCCT